CATAAAGTATTAGATTTTTATAAAAATACGCGGTAAACGTAATTTACACGCAAATGATCATGAACATACGGCATTTGCAAGAATTCTATATTATCATTCTGTAAAAGATTATATGGCGTTACGAAAGTTAACACCATGTAAAATATTATATAGTATGATTTTTGTGAAATCTTGTTCTTTGAGAGTTACTATTGACATACAAATAGCATGAACCAAATCTCGTGTTCTCGTTAATCGATTAACTTGTTAACAATCAAATAAATGATTATTGTGACAATAAAAAAGAAAAGAAAGAAAAAGAAGAATTAAAAGTAATAATAATAATTCATTTAATGTTCACATGTTTGTACCGACACGATTAATATAATTTCTATACGTTTACACCTAATTTTCCGCATTAACGTTATAATCGACTAGAAATATGCTGAATACGTTTTTGGTTTATGCTATTGCCATATAAGGCACTACATTGCTAATACCAGTTTCTAATCGCCATTTCACGTACCATAACTGAATACATAATCGCATGTGGGAATCCGAAGAATCCCATGAATTTAGGTAGTTACACATGTAATCAAGATTTTGAATTTGTAACCTGCACGTTTGTATTAACCTTTTGAAGCATGTATCAAGCTGAAACAATGACTTGAATGTTTAAAAATCATTTTTTATAACTTTCAAGAAAACAACTTTTCGGTGAAAATAATTTCGTGGCATATCATAAAGTTTCTAATATGAATTAAGAGTAAAAAATCAAATGACATCTTCTAAAAGATATGGATTCTTTGTATAAAAATACCGAATAAATGTATTTTGATATTTTGATTCCAAATTATTGAAACAGAACAAAATGAGAAAAAAGAAAAAAATATGAAGATTAGAGACACTTCAAAGGGTTAATAAGTATTTCTGGTAATCGCATCACACATTTATAAGCAACAAGAAAACAGTTTCCCACGCAGCCTGAAATACAGCGAGTTACGTATTCTTTCTATGAAATGAGTTAAAACATAGTTTCAAATATTCTAAAATGTTAAAACAACTAATAAGACGGTAATATTACTGTAAGGCGAGTTATGAATTGTACAAACATAAAAAAAAGACATCCCATGAACCAAGTAGCGATTTGAAACTAGTGGTTAATTAAGTGAACGAAAAAAAAAAAAAGAAAAGAGGACTCGACCTTTTATGGGTTGTAAAATTTAAACAAAGAAATGAAAATTTAATGAAAGATATATATCGCACACGTGTTAGAAGTTATTAGACATGATTAAATAACTTGACCAAATGATCGAAGATCTTGGAAATTTCTATAATAATACTACTATTTGTAACTCGTAAGTAAAAAAAATATATACTGCGATATTACTTGTTGTACGCACAAAGATTTTAGGTAGGAATTATTCAATATTATCGTGTAATCAGGGTTTGTCTGTGCTGTTTGATTTACAATTTGAACCAATCTAGATACAGATATCGACGTATTTAGTTCACAAAGAAAAAAATGTTTACGAAACTATATATCTTATAAACTGTCGTTTATAAGACAGAAAGAAAAAAAGAAAGGGATAGGTTATTTTCTTTGAAAAATATTTATTAAATAATGCTACGAAATTATTAGATGTTGTTCAAATGTAAATTTACAACATGAGGATAAACGCGAATCTTTAGAATTGATATTGGTATCTAGACATCTGTAACGTAACAGCACCGATTTATAAAAGAAAAGTAAAAAGAACAAGTTGAAACAAATTATATTGAAACATATATACATTCATATTTACACGGACAGTCAATAGTTATAGTTATATTTAAACGACAAAATAATAAGAATGGCGATCTTGTCTGCGTATAAAATCATAAACATCATTTTGAATACAAAGTAAATTTTGATGGAATATGAAAATACGTTGATGAGACAAGATTGTTCAAATGGGCATGGTATAACTAAATTAAGATATAATCTATCTTTGCACTGCATTTTTTTTCTCCATCGAAAGTTAGTTCATCTGTGTATTATTTAATTATTTTCGGTCATTGGTATTTTTTATCTTTCTATTCCACCGTATATTTTCGCGATATAATAGTGCGTCTCCTTTTCGGCAAAAAATTAACTTCGCTAGAAATATATTTAAAAATTAATTATCTCTTACATTAACATGCAAATTTCGACGGAGAAAAAATGGAGTACAAATGGATTATTACTCGGATATTAACAACATTGCATGGGATAGGACAATTTCATAGATCAGCAAAATATATGTCGTAATGGTAGAATGCAATAATTTATCAATTGTCACATTTAGGAATATGTAGACCGAAATGATTTTCATAAAACAAGATCCATCGATCATAAATTACCATAAAAATCCTTTCTTTTTAAAGTGTCTTTTAAATTCTATCGATTTAATTCCATTCGAGTTTTCTGTTCTCCATTCGTCATCACGAATTAACATTGTTCTACACGACCAAATAATAAAAAATACGCAGACGTGTTTGCAAGAAAAAAAATTTTTAATCAAATACATTACTTGCCAGTTGCTTTTATTAATAATTATTAAAAGAAAAGGAGAAACTCGCCTTGCTTATTTTCCGTCAAATATTAATAATACATAGTCTTGTCACAGTTAAACGATCTGCGTTTTGTTTCTTTTCAAAGATTTTGTATTTCTTTCAACACTGAGGAAAAGAAGTGGACCTGGCGATATTACGCGGCTATAACGGCATTTTAGAGGCTTATCGATCTTCGAAGGATCGTTTTTTTTTTATTCTTCAAGATCTTTTTGCTTCGTTAATAAAACAGAAAAGTAAAAATTCCTCTACCCGTTTTGTATGATGGAGTGTCAGGTAGACTAAATCAAGCAATAGGAAAGCGGTATTCCCATTGCGTGTGCTAGTATCACTGGCAATTTATTTTGCTTTGTAAATAAAAATTTTTTTGTAGTAAAAAAAAGTGCAAAACAATCATTGTGGAAAAACATAACAAATGTAGTTCCCTCTTTATTCCTTGTAAGATAACGGTAAATTCCTATTATTTTTTTCTTTTCTACATTTTAGTATTATGAAATTTTTTGACATAACATTTTATGTTTGTATGCCAAAATTTAGTATCATTCGTTACTCTATTTTTACAAAATATTTATTTTTTAAATTAAAGAACGATTTCTAAAAGTTGAAGTAAATTTTTATCTTCTATGAATCGCCGAAGTATTTGTATTACTAAGAAGATATTAAATGACGTGTTTCGTACAAATATTTTTAATTTTGTTTACAATTATTTTTATTAACTATTTTGAAGCTATGGCGTATCTTTTTTGTATTATAAATTTAAAATTTTGTACACTTAATCTAGTACATGCATGCGATGGTAAAAATAATTTTTATTTTGAGAATTAAAAATTGTTTGCAGTATCTCTACATTTTAACCCTGTGTGAAAAATTTATATTAATATGAAAAAATTTGCATTACTAGCGATATACCTAAATTATTGCATAAATATAACGAATATATAAGTGCAATTATTCATTTATTCGCCGTTTTACAGTAGAAAGACATTCATTCCCAAATTGAATTTCTTTGAGTCGGTATCAAATGTATTGCACTGTGTAAGAAAACTTTTTTTAGAATTTTGATATGAGACGTAAGTCGATTATTATCGATTAACTATTCGAAGACTTCCGAAATTTTTGTTTAACCTGTTATGATTTTTCGAAGTTAGTAAACTGTGATATTTATGTGAATGCTTTTATAAATGATTTTTCCTGTATAAGTGTTTATTGTACATACATGTCTTAATCTGATAGAATTATATTACAGATTATTTTTCTTCATTTATATTTGCTCATTCGTAAATGTAATATACTTTATGCAATTATTTATGTAAAACACAAATTTAAACTTAAATTTCAGAGTCTTTAACTTTATAAGTAACATATATTATTCTTTTGTACAGTGTTTTTAAGGACTATTAATTGATGTTTCAATGTGTTAAGATTAAAAAAAAAAACGAAGGAAATATCCATTAGTAAATGATAGAAATGTTAAGATATATTAATGGTAAATTTAGATGCAATAATAACAATGTAATTTGTATTGTATGATGACAAGATAGATAGGGAATATACAGAATAGAATATATATAAATACATGTAAAATTGCATATATAATTTTGTATAATTTATAATATCTATATGATAAATAAAATATTAACAATGTATGGCCTAA